AGCCCCCCCTGCCAGCGACGGGGACCGATGGCTCCTGCTGTCCTGCTGTGGGGCTGGCCAGGCTCCCCGTGTGCAGGGGAGGGAGCCTTCCCCCAGCTTTGCTTTGCTCCCACAGCAACGGCCTCGGCTGCAGCAAAGCAGCATTGGAGCAGAACCGGGGTGCGGTGCTGGGTGTTTGGGAGCTCCCTGCAGCTGCCAGATCCAGACCGCAAGACCCAGCGGCATCGCGGGGCAGGAGCTTTCAGGATTCGAGATGCTCCAGGGCTGCCCTATGCTCACCCGTGCCGCTCTCCCCTCTTTGCTGGTGTCTCTGCAAGCTCCCTTGCACATGTGCATCCCCCAGGGAGCTGCCGGCGCTTGGAATGATGCTTCCCACCGGAGCAGATTCCTGTGGGCTTGTTTCTCTTGCGGCGTGCCACTGGCGAGCATCCTCTCATCACCCTCTCTTCTCTCTCCCTGCCAGGAAACACCAGTTCTCACCTCAGTCCAAGAGCTCCAGCAAAGTCACAAGTGTACCGGGCAAAGCGTCCAAGCCGGGCCCCACGGGTGCCAAGGTGGGCAAGTCCAGGGCCCTGTCGCCACGGAAGGAGCTCCTAAATCAGCTGAAGGACTCCATCCCTCACAAGCGGGCCAAAATCCTGGGGAAAGTGTAGTTGGCTGTGCATGGAGCATCTCTCTGCGCCTTAGTGTCCTTTCCTTCTGCTTTGGGATTTTGCGGTTCTGTTGTATTTTGGCCGCGATTCTTTAAAAAAAAAAAAAAAAAAAAAAAAACCCACAAAAAACCCCCCCCAAAAAAAACCCCAAAAAATAAAAAAAAAAAAACACACACAAAAAACCCCCACCAAAAAAAAACCCCAAAAAACCCCCCACCCCATTGAAGTTTTGTCAGCTGAGATGCCTGCGACAACTCGCTCTGGCTCCCCAGGGATGAGCAGGGCCAGCCCCTGGCTCTGCCACCGCCGGTTCCATGTAAACTATGCACAGAGGACTCCAGCCCCGTCGGGTGCTCTTACTGTTCCTCTCTTTCTCTCTGCCCTCTTCTCCTTGCTAGCCTTGAGCTGTATTCTCCTAGTTAGCCCTGCCGTGTGTTGAGTGTCTTCAGCCATGCAGTTCTACATACTGTGTACTGAGCGAGCCGAAAACTACTGTGAACTACTGGCAACATCACCTTCTTCCTGCCCTCCCTCCCCATCCAGGAACAAAAAGGTGTTGTGGGGATGTCTGTCTAACAAGGAGGGTCTTTTTTTTTTGAGGGATCTCCCTGACATAAAGTATAAAAAAATAAAGTATACAGTTCTTCTTTCCTCTGCCGTTCTTTGCATCCCCTGTCCCCCATCTCCCTTGCCTCGGGGGCCCTGTCCTTCCCATTTTTTGGGGCATGCGGTGAATTTTTCCTGCTCTCCTGACGGCCCCCACGGCAGCACTGACTCTGCCCCCAGCTCAGGCAGCTGCTAGGGGATGGAGGAGCTGCCCCATCTCTTGGGGAAGCGCCACATCCCTGACCCCTCTGTGGACCCCCAGCACTGGGGGGGTCTCCCAGCTTGCAGCCCTGTCCTGCCTCCAGTCTTAAACCAGTATCCAACTGGTGTTAGCAGGGCAGAGTCCCCGCCAGGGAGGGGAGCGGCGGGCTCTGCAGCCTGCAGCTTTGCTGGCTTCACCCGGCAGAGTCTGGGAGTGCCTCTGTGCTCCTCCAGACCCTCAGGGAATGCTGTGTGGGGTCCCAGATGCCCTCTCGTGCACTGCTGTGGGAGGCTCCATGTGCCTCGTCCCTGCCTGCTTGGGGTGCGCGGCACCCTGGAAAGACACCCCCAAATGGGTGCAAATCCCGTCTCTTCTGGCAAAAGACGAAAGCATGGCCGTGGCCTGGTCCTGCAGTCTTGCTGGCGACTGTCCCATGTGCTATACTGGAACTACTGGGCTGCTGTGGGGACAGAGCCCAAGCCCTGACCCCTGATCCTTTCCCCGCGCACCGAAGGTGTGGAGCCCACGGTGCTGGCAGGGTGCAGTGGTCCCAGCAAGTGAGCAGGGAGCACCGGTGAGCCCAAGCCCGGCTCCGCAGCAGGATGGGCTACAAGGTGGGTGAGTCGTTGAAGGATCTCCATGTGGGGTATGGAGCAGAGGAGAGCCCAAAAAATACTGCTCATCCCTGAACCAGCTCCTCTGGTCTCACCGCATCCTCCCCTTTCTGCTCAGCACCATCATCTTGGCTTCAAGCCTCCACGCTGCCGGAACACCCCTCACTGCTGGACCAGAGAGCATCACCAGGGTGGGGGGAAGGTGGGGGGGTAGAGACAACCCTTCAGCCCTTTCCAGGGTTGCCCAATTTGGGATTTCTGGTCCAGCAACCCCAGGAACCTGATGGTGATATCACCATTGTGCTTACACAACTGGGCCAGGGCTGGCGCCATGGCCTGGGACACGGGGCTGCTGTCACCCTGGGTCACCAGAGGGCTGGGGGCCTGGTGAACGGACACTCAGGGCATCCCATGGTGCACGGGTGGGCACGGGAAACCCTGGGTGCCCGTCCACCAGCCACCAGCCCTCCCACAACCTGGACCGCACAGCCCTGCGATGCTCTATACCCATCCCCATGGCAGTCAAACTGGTGGACATCCATCCCCATCAACATCCCCCCCCCCCCAT